AAGGGCCGTGGTGTGATAGGTTTACCGGCATTTATTTTAAAGAATAGCCCAAAGATAGATATCTAATATTGGGTATATGAGCAAGAGTGCTACATCACAAGCATACAGGATTAAGACAACTAGGCGATAGTGCCAATGGAACTACCTGTAAGAACGCTCAAATGTTCTACTGATGAGCAAGCAAGATTATAAAAACAACTGAACCAATCATGGACTACAAACCAAGAAGAAGCAAAATAAAAAAATTAGACTATGTAGAGAAGGGTACCCAATGACCTTTGAAAAGAACTTTTGTGCATGACTCCGTATCTGAACTGCTGTTTTGGTCCCAATATGTTCTGCATATAACGTCATGCAGTGGAGAATCAGGTATCTATTCAGGGAACAGTATAAACTTGACAGTAGTCACCAATGTATCCAGATAAAATCAGCTCAATAATAACTAAGAATTTGAATCACAGACATAAATTTGTTAACTAAAGAAACTTCTGCTCAATTACCTGGAAGGCAATAAATTTTGTACCATATATTACACAGTATATAATTCATCTAACCAATGTTATATGCTAAGAAATGAACAAAAGTCAAAAAAGGAACGCTGTCATTTGAGCAAAATATAACCTTCAATTCTCTGCCATGCTCGGCCATAGAGCTTCAGCGCCTCTAGAAATCTACTGTGCTCCTCCTCCGTCCAGCGCTCTCGTTGCTTTGTAATAGTATATGGCTTCCTGGTCTATCATATGCATACATACACAACTTCAGACCTCAGTTATAAACAGTTTTCGTTTTTATTTTTCTTCACTTCTTACACTAAACTATTTTTCTTTTCTGTGGAGGGAGAATGGACTATCACCCTGGTCTATCATATGCATATATACACAAGTTCCGAAATCAGTTATAAACAGTTTTCATTTTCCTTTTCTTCACTTCGTCTTTCTTCTTCTTAAACCATTTTTTTTTCTTTTCTGTGGAGGGGGAATGGACTATCACCTTAAAAACCAAGTCTTCTCCAGAGGAATTGGGATCCATGGACGGATCTGAGCAGCTATCGCTGCTTCAAATCCTCTCGAACGAGCAACGGGTAAAATGAAAGCCTCCTTTCATTGTTAGGGATATAAAGAAATCTAAATTGTGAAGCCTTTGTTGCTTTTATCACCTGGCTCCTTGACGCAACTGCAAAATAGAAGAAGAAAAAAAGCGACAGCAATCGGTAGAGATCCGTCTCTTTTGCATATGAACAAAATTATTTAACTACATCGGTGGACTTTTATGAAAAAATTTGGTATTGTAGGAAACAGGAAAATGAAACTTTAAACAAAATATTTTCAGAAGCAACAAGATAGAAATACTTCGCCGAAAAAGAACTTGAAATGAAAAATCCTTTTTCAGAATCCTCACCAGAACGAACTGGAAGACGCCAAAACCTTAGAACATAGAAAAGAGAGAGAAAATTCTATCGAGTAATCAGCAAACTACTTCCTCCACTTCACAGCAAAGCATCGTTACAACACTGATCTGACAAAGTCAAGTACACTATCCATTTAGCAGGCAAGAAAACATCAGGAATCGAAAATTTAAAATTAAAAGAAAAAACAAAAACAAAAAAACAACTAACTCAAACAGCATCAAGTAATTCAATCTATACAAATCTCCATCAATTTCTAAAACATTTCTCGGCAACCAAACTGAGAGTAAGAATCAAGAAAAAGGCCAGGCAAAAACAACAGTACCTTCAAAAACAACCATGGCGGGAGGTAATTCGGAAAGGAAAAGTGGATACTCCGATCATGCAAGAGAGCGAAATCGCCAGAAACTCGCCAGAAACTCGCCAGAAACTCACCAGAAACTCACCAGAAACTCACCAGAAAACTCATGGTTTCCGGCAATCAAGAACATGAATTGAACGAAGGAGGAAGCAATAGTAGCAGAGAGTAGTCGTTTTTTCTTGTTCTTTTTTTTTTTTTTTTTTTTCCTTTTTTGGTTTCTCTAGGCACTGGAAATTACAGTTTGGGGCGCGTCGGAGCAATCTCAGCCACTATAATTTCTTCTGGATTTTGGTTCCATTAAAAAATAAAAAAGAAACATAAAAAATAAAAAATAAATAATAAATAAAATGAGTTTTTATTTTTGAGGCTGCAAACGAGTGAAGAAGGTAATAGAGAAAGGCCGTTGCATTGGATTTTGACAAGTGGCGGAAAACTAGTGGCTGTGGGTCATAAAGACCACCCATGCGCTTTTTCCTTTTTTTTTTTTTTTTTTGGGGTTTCTTTTATGACGTTCCATCGAATATTGGGAGACAGCTTCCCCACCGTCCATTTCCCCATTCGGCTTCCGGTGTGCGGCCACGATATGGCCATCTGTTATTACATTTCTTTTCTTATCGATTATTTTTTTTCTTTAATTAATCGAAACTAATAACTGATTGATATTGTTCCAATTATTCGAAATATTCTATTTTATTGTTGGATCTAGAAAAACCTGTCTTAAAAGGATTATGTTATATTTTTGCTTATAAAATATTATTAAATTTTTAAGATGTTTTTCGATTTGAATAAAAAAATTAAAATTAACCATTAATAAATTTGTAGAAAAGTGGGAAAAAAAAGTTAGGGGAACTCGATGTCGAGACTTTAATAATAAGGTTTTCATCCTCTCACAAACTCGAAAAAGGCTTGAAGTCTCTCACGGCTTCCTCCCCGTTTCTTATATAAACTAGGGAATTCTTCACTCCTTACGAAGTGGATCTCTCGAAGTTCCTATCCTGTAAAATCTTTGATTCTTCACTCTTTGACAACAAGATGGTGGTGCTTGATGCTTGTTTGTAAAGGAAAGGCTTTTATAAAACTTGGGCAAAATTTAAAATTGATTCACATTTTAATTTCATCCGAGTAGTAGAACGTTCCTTCATATTTGTTTTCCTCCCTTACAAGGAACAAAGCATGAACCAACCATTCATTCTTTTTCAACAGAAACCATTAATATAACAGGAAAATATCTAATGTCCTTCGTGCCTAACCTTTAAGTTAATTCAAGGACGCTCGTATTTGATAGATTTTGAGCGGCTCTTAACTTTTAACGAAAGAGAACTATAGATTAAGAAAGTTATGGTACAAGTTCTACGACTTCGAAGCCAAACAAACAAAGAAGCATTGCCAAACAAAAAGATGGATTTTGTGGGGATTTTGTTTTCCAAACTTTGTGTCACCATTGCTATAACTGGAAGGACTTGAATATCAGCTGACACTATAGGTCCCCTGCTTATCAAAATATGCCAAATACAATAGGAGTTATAAGACATTATGATCTCAACATCTTCCTTATTCAGAATCTGAGTTGGTTTGTGAGCATCCCATTGCAATGAAGGTGTTATGGATGGGATCTCCCGCCATCTCATCAGAGCCTCCCTACATAAAATCCTTCCAAAAATACAAACTATTAGCACTAGAAGGACCATGGAAAAGATGAGAGAAACCAACCAATGTGGTTGTGATATCCCATATTGGTTGGGAGGAGAATGAAACATCATTTATAAGAGTGGGAAACCTTTCCCTAGCAGATGCGTTTTAATGCTTTGAAGAGAAGCCCGAAAGGGAAAGCCCAAAAAGGACAATATTTGTTAGCGGTGGGCTTGGACTGTTACAAATGGTACCAGAGCCAGATACTGGGCGATGTGCCAGCGAGGAGGTTGTTTACCGAAGGGGGTAGACATGAGGCGGTGTTCCAGTAAGGTCGCTGGGCCCCGAAGGGGGGTGGATTTGGTGCGGGTCCCACATCGATCGGAGAAAGGAACGAGTGCCAGTGAGAACGCTGAGCACCTGAAGGGGGTGGGATTGTGATATCCCACATTGGTTGGGGAGGAGAATGAAACACCCTTTACAAGGGTGTGAAACCTTTTCCCTTGCAGCCCGCCTTTTAAAGCCTTTGAAGGGAAGCCCGAAAGGGAAAGCTCAAAGAGGACAATATTTGCTAGCGATGGGCTTGGACTGTTACAAATGGTACCAGAGCCAGACACTGGGCAATGTGCCAGCGAGGAGGTTGTTCACCGAAGGGGGTAGACATGAGGCGGTGTGCCAGTAAGGACGTTGGGCCCCGAAGGGGAATGGATTTGGTGGGGTCCCACATCGATGGGAGAAAGGAACAAGTGCCAGCGAGAACGCTGAGCCCTGAAGGGGGGTGGATTGTGATATCCCACATTGGTTGGAGAGGAGAATGAAACACCCTTTATAAGGGTGTGGAAACATTTCCCTATTAGACGCGTTTTAAAGCCTTTAAGAGGAAGCCTGAAAGGGAAAGCCCAAAAAGGACGACAATATCTGCTAGCGATGGGCTTGGGCTGTTACAATGGTTGTGTCAGGACCCTCCGAGAAATGGTTAGGCCTGAAGCTGACCCTGCCTGCCCGAACTTTGTAACGAGGCCAAACAAAGATAGGGGAACGAGTGCCAAAGAGGATCATTGATTCAAAAACCTGACTAATATCTCCTTCAAATTTGGCTTAAGCTTCAAATTCTTAAAAGATTAGGAGTAAAAGAAGAGCTTTTGCTTTGGATGCTTCTAATCTAACTCCTCAATGAATGATTCGCTAGTTTGGAGACAGCTAGTTTGGGAACATTTTGATTAGCTATAACATAAAAAATCAAATGAACTCACTCTAATTGATGTCCCAGCTTGCACATAATCTATTTCAAGAAACTCCATTCAACTCTGTACTTTTTTTCACAAAATGTAAGCATTCATGAGCGATAATCAGACCATAAAAAATTGAACGACCTTGAATGAAAGCTAACAAAGAAGAAGAGAGAATTTAGTCCAGATTTGTCATCACCTAATTATATATAACTTTTGTAACTATCTTATACAACACATAGCATATGAACTTATTGAGCGAAAACCACTAAATGAATTTTGATACCTTGTTTAAGGGATCAACACAATACGAGTCTTGTTTCAAGGCAAATCTTCAAAGTATTTGGTAGAACAAAGTTGGGAATCCATTGTTTTATTGCTCTTTCCACCTCCTTTTGATATCACTTCTGAAGTAACCCTTGAAGAAATGCAATCAATGACCCTGTTCACATCAATCTGCAAAGGAGCATTTGAAGCAAAAATATTTTAAAAATAATCCACAAAAGTCAGGGAAATTTTTGTAACTTCCTCTTGCCATACTCCCAAGGCATCAAAAATGGCTTCAGTACTATTCTCTTTCTTCCTCCCAGTTGCCTTCTAGAGGAAACAATTAGTATTGCTATCACCCCATTTCAACCAATCCTCTTTTGGAGCTTTGTTTCCAATAGATTATAATCACCTTGAACATCTCTGGTAACGCCCCAAGCTCACCACTAGCAGATATTGTCCTCTTTGAATTTTTCCTTTCGAGTTTCTCCTCAAGATTTTTAAAACGCGTTTACTAGGGAGAGATTCCCATACCCTTATAAAGAATGGTTCGTTCTCTTCCCCAACTAATGTGGAATCTCACATCTCTAAACTTAGAGATCAAGCTACGTTCTCTTAGCTCTTCGCCAATTTTTATCATGGTCTCACAATATTTCATTCATATCACAGAATGCCCAAGAACACCGATGTAAGTATGACCTAAGGGGGAAGAGCATTTGAGTCTCTTTTGAAGAATAATCAAAATTCAGACTTAAAACAAGGTTTGGTGGAAGTATTTTCCCAAGTACGAGTGGGTGGTTCTTCGCTTTGCACACCAGATTGAATTCATGAAGAACTGAAGTCACTTCAGCATTAGTAAAAACTTCAGAATCGAAAATCCCACAGCAGGAGGTTTTGAAAAGCTTACCGATATTTCTTCTTCTTCAAGCTTCTTCCACCCTTCCAGAAGATCTCCATATCCCTGTTGGTAGGATAATGAATCCTAACATGGCATTATATTGCTCGAAATGACAAAATTTTAGAAGAGAAAACTCATGCTTTCTACCAATTTCTTAGAATTTTACGGTCACCTACAGTCATAAAAAGTTAGGTCGTTAAACGACGATTTGGCCCAAAACCCAAAGCAGTCCAAACGCATACAATGCCCATAGAAAGGCTCTATGAATAGTCCAAGAAGATTGAGAAATTAGAGAATTCAGAAGACTCCAAGAAGATTGAGAACTTGAAGACCAAAGACTTTGAAAACACAACAACGTTGAAGGCATGATCTTAAACACTATTAAGTGCGTAAGAATAATTCAAGATTTTGATAAACTTGTCAAGAAGATCAAGAAACCAAGATCAATACAAGAGCAATCAACAAGCCGAATAAGATCAATTGAATAAAATCAACAAGCCAATTATTGAAACAATAAGATCAACAAGTTAAGAACTAGTACCGAGCCAAGAAGATGAACAAGTTAAGAACTAGAATCGAGTTCAATCCTACAAATATGCACTTGTTATACTTGAAGAAGAAGGTGAAACGTATGAATTAAGAATAGGCATCAACATTTTTATCATTAGTTCAATAATTTTCGTCTCATTTTTAATTTCTTTTAACTTCATTGATACTAGGGGAATTCCTCAATCGGTTGGCACTGATTTTGGGTTCAAACTATGTAGAAATTTGACATATCGATTTTCATCGATCAAAGAATGTCATTTTTGGAGTATTATGTGACGTTGATCAACTTACCACATCGTTGCTTGGTAGATTTTAGCTCAAACTAACATATATAAGAGCTTCGGTCGAAAAATATTTTCCAATTTTTGTTGCCGGGTTTAGATGTTGAGGCCGTACTTTTTCCTTTAAAAATAAGTAAAAGGTATCTCCAAACATCTTAAGTCCTAACCGCTAGGGTCACCCTCAACCCAAGGAAGTTATAATACTATCATCAATATCATTGCATATCAACATTCAACTAACAATTTAATTTCGTAGAGCCTACAATATTTCACAAGTTGGTAATGTAACTGCATATTAGCTCAATACAATGATTTCATGCTATTGCTAAAGTACTAAAATTGTGTCTTGGTGAGCTCAAGACTTACAGGGGCCTCAAATTAGACTGAAATCATGGTACAGAAAGGTTCAAAGTGAGTCTAAGGACTCAATCTTTATCCACTGTCCAAACAACACAGGCAGCAATGTTCTTCAATGATAATCAATCAGCCTGTAAAACCAGCCTCACATCAACAGGAAAGAAGAGTTCAAAGGCAAGAGAAAAACTGATCTCTCTGCTTTAAAAGTAGGGTTCAATCCAGAAATGAAAGTTAAAAAGCATTTAGACAAACATATTAATGCTCATTGCATAATCAGATCACAATGAAGGAGGGCTACTTGCTTTGCTTTCACATGTACAAATCATAATGAATGAGGGCTGTTGCATTTAGACAAAGAGATTCATAACACATGTTCAGTGCATATATAGGTCTTTTAGGATGTTGGTCAAAAGGAAAAGGTCAAGAGAAGGATAAATATGTGGCACAGTCTGTCTACAACAGAATTGTTTCCCTCATGTCACTGACAAGACTTTCGGATTTTAGTTTCATGTTTGGTTCCTAAAAACAAAAGTCAGCACAAAATTTAAGCAGGTCCTAGAATCTGATAAAAAATGCTCACTTTTTCCATCTGCATCATGATCTACCAATCTTTTGATTGTGAGTAAATTACATTTTTGGCCTTCATTTCTTTAGTTTTAATTTATTCTTGTAAAACCATGTCTCTAACGATGATAAAGAATAACAGAAAGTTTATATGATAATTTATCTATAGTTCCACTCCTTTTTGAAAATGTAATTTTACCGAGGATGATTTACTTTGACAAAAGGGCAGAAGAATTTGACTCCTTTTTGACTATTTTAACAACTACCAAATCCAGAAGCAGGCTTTCCAGGTAAGTTTTTTCTTAACAGCAGGAATAGAAAACTTGAAACGTTTGATAGAAACATACCAGATGGCAGAAGGTTTTCATCAGGTTTGATTCGTTGAACCGCTGATTATAGAATCTCTCCATACAGTGAATTTAGTGAAAAGGGTTAGTATGAACATGTCTGAACATCGATCGGTGAATATACCAATCATATTAGTTGGATTTGACAAGCTTTTGTATCACAGGTAAAAACCTATCCTCATACCAAAAAGTTTGCAAGTTCATGGAGCATGGCCCCCCCTTGCATCTTTCCCACTATGTCACCAGATCTAATGCAAATCTAATCAACTTAAGATTTAAATATCAATCTACCAGGTTAAAAACAAAAAACAAATAGAGGAGGCCAACTTATCAGCTGGATATTTAGGCAGATTTGACATAAAATCATGACTTGCTCGTGGAGGTAAGAAAAAGTTTTTTCATCCCGCATGGTGCTGTACATCGTAGTCCCACCTTAATAAAATCAGAAGCCTTTCTTCCTAAATCTTTCACCTGAAATTATAAAGCACATAAAGCAAAGTAATATTATTCATCTCTTTTGAACTCCCACTGACAAAATAGAAACAAACAGTTAATATTGGGAGCATAGCCACGACATGGTTGAGGCAAAGGAGATCTTTTTCATGCTCAAGGAAATGACTTAAGAAGGTTTCAGAAATATGGTGACAGAACTGACATCAAATCAATTTCTTTCCTAGGAAGGTTAAAAAACAAAAGCTCAGTGGAAGACCTTTTTACAAATTCTGACAACTCACAGAGACTCAGGACATTCACAAATTATTGTAACAGTCAAAGGAGAAAAAAATAGAAGAATTCATGTTTGCTTCTGTTGTACTTCACAACCAATGTCAGAGTGCATCACCTTCTTCCGTCTCTTCCTTCTTACCCTGTCTCGCCCAGAAACCATGTCTTTAAGCAAAGGATACTACTGAAAGTAAACAATAAATATGAATAACAAACAAGAGCTAGCCAATATCCAGAAGGGTAAGTTTTCTGTCCTATAGTAGCATGTTTCAGAAACAAGGAGTTGTAAAAGGTTGAATTTAGAAACACATGGGACCCGGGCATACTTCTTTCCTTTATATTTTGTTCCCAAAAAATATTCTGAAATGACGCAAGTGATCATATTATGAAGCCCAAAAGACGAGTTATTACCTTTTTCTTTTGCAGGGAAACAAGCACATATATCAGACATCACAAGTTAAAATTCTCTCATAAAATTGTAACACAAATTGAGGTTACCAACAGCAATGCTAGAATCATGGAAATTGAGGTTACCAACAGCAATGCTAGAATCATGGCCATTGTTAGGGATAAAGATCAGAAGCGCAATCTAACCTTTGTGTTATTTCTGATCTCATCTGAGAATGTTCTGCTTACAAACATGATAAAAGAACGGTGTCAGGGAGACCAAAAGGTCATCTACTATTAAAATTCCTTTCCTCCAAAGATCCCAACCAAATGCATGATCCAACATGTAGATTTAATAGGATCATACATGGAAATAAGATATTGAAGAGTCCTTTCAAATTTCCAATTAATCTTCTACCTTTCCAGGTCAGATAATACAGTTTGTGCCCCTGATGAGAAATGATCCACTTCGTTGTCAATCTTTGCACCTATTTTGGTCCAACACAATATTCTCCAGAGACCCCACCAGTCATTTAGGGCTCTGCCCACCAAATTATAGTGAAATTGTTACAATTATAAGAATGGAAGCTATCATTTTCCCATGGAGGCATGTGCAAAACATGTTTGTGTAGAAAGCACAACTATATACAAAACATGAATAAATTAAGGTACTTAAAACTGATTAAATAAAATTAAAAGAGAATTAAACATCTTCAAACAGTAACAATAAAATTATTTGAAGAATGGAAAATACTATCTCAGGTTTGGAGTGAGTCCATACCACCACTCAAAGTACCAAAAAATCAAAACTACTCACATTCCTCAGATAAAATGAACAGCTTCCGGAAGGGTGCTCCAGGACCCACCATCCATTTAGCCACTTGAATGGATAGCACAAGCCAGCCAGTTCTTTTGTAACTATCCCTATGTTTCCTTTACGCACATCATCTCAGACTATTGGAGGTGTGCAGTAAGAGTTTGACATTCTATTGATAAATAAGCAGCGAGCTAAACTATGGAAAACACTTTTTCTCATCACCCCTCTAAACTGAAGGCAACAAAACTCAGTTTTCTGAAGCACAACCAGAAAGATGAAGGCAAAGTTAATTCTGCATTAATTCTTGTAGAGTGTTTCTGTCTAACGACTAAATGATATTTTGGTTTTTTCTCACAGCTACTTGGTTGGATGCACCGCAAATTTCGGCAGAACAGTGGTGAACCGCTCAAAGATTTTGCCATCGGTAAATACTTTCCACCAGTAGTTCTCTGTGAGGTTGAGCATCTATTGTCAGTAAAAGCTCACTTTGTGCATAGAATCTGTAGTGACTGATATTCGATGCCCAGGGCATGGAACACATCCAAGTTTTGTATGCATGTAATCTGAAAATTATATCTCTTTAACCCATCTATTCCATTTAATAGAAAACATTGAGTTATAACCAGGAATTACAGATAAACCATGAAATTATTGTTGATATGCTGCAACAGAAACAAGGTTCCTAGAAATTCAAGTGTACTTGTGTAGGTCATTCTCATAATTGTTTTTTTAGGCCAACAATCGCTTGATGATCAGCAATACATCTCGAAGTCAAGCATTAAACCTTTCAAGCAAGCCCCACGAGAGCAGCATCTTCGAAAATCTTTTGCTGGTCTAGAATCAGAAATAGGAGATGAAGACTATGAAGATGAATCATCCCATCCAATGTCTGAGATCTTCCATGGATTTCTGGCAATTGGAACTCTGGGATCTGATCAGGTCATCAGTGACCCAATGACACCAAAGTTTTCAATTTCTGTTGAGAATATAACTGAAAACGAAACTGAAGTAACTGAAAATGAACTAAAGTTCATTAATGATGAGTTGGAAAAGGTTCTAGGAGCTGAAACTAAGGATGACGGGTACAATGATTCTTCTGGAAGAAACAGTCACGTCAGCATGGGAAGGAGCAGCCATGGTAGCACAATTACCCTCAGTGGCAAGCCAATGGATGGCCTAGAAAGCAATATAAGTGGGAGCATAATCTGCCCACTTCAGGGATATCTTTTTGGGTCAGCAATTGAATTATCAGAGACTACGGCAGTGGCTAAAAAGGAAAACAGGACCTCCCTAGGCGAACTGTTTCAGAGAAGCAAAATAGCTGAGGAGAATGTAGGTGCAAAATCTGACAAGGAAGACAAGCGAGCTGAAGAGGATATCGATAAATCTTCCGTGCACCTGATGAAAAAGAAACTGAAGAAAAGAATGTTGTCTGCTTCTTCCCGGAGCTCTGCAGCAGCTGTTGAAGGGCTCAATGATTCAGCTTCAGCAGAAACGAAACTGCATAAGGTATGTCATAAGCTATGATTTGAACTTAACCCTTGCTGTCTGGCCTCACCTGATTATTACTTTTCCAGCTCTGTCATTATAAATTTTTGAACTAGGAGATGGTTCAAGTGAGAGGCTTCAGAACCTATTTTTACCATAGAAAACTACTGACCGCAATTGGACTTTTACTATTTTCCTATCTGTCTGTAATAGTTAAATTTCTTCAACATATGACATGTGGCTTGCAGATCTTTCACATGTTCCACAGAAAAGTTCACCCTGAAAGCTCAACAATCATACAAAAGACCGATAAGCACCAAAAGTTTCAAAGAAAGAAGAAACCAAACCATAACCATGATGGTTGCTACAACAATGGAGAGCAGACATCTGATGAGGATATCATGATATATCCTCAGAGAACACTGTCGAAACCAAGCTTTCGACGTATCAAGAATCAATTTCCACCAGATGAACTACACAGTTCTGATCCAAATGACAACAAGGAACGCTGGATTAATTCAGATGAAGACTGTAAGTTACTAAACTCAATATTTCCTAGCTTCCAACATTCACCTAGATATCCTATTAGTTTCCATAAACACTAATATCGACACCCACAACCAACAAGTTAATACTCTTAAATTATAAAACTAAAACCAACTCACTGTAGTCTTGGCTTAGTATTTATGCTCACCTTCCACAAAACACAGGATGAATGGTAGCTAATCCTTTTCTGTATATCTGCTATACCATCGACTGCTCGCTACATTATCTAACCAATTACATGAGAGACAAGTGTGACGACACTGACTCTTAGAAGCAACTCTAATTCACTTTTATTGTGTTCATCGTAGATCTTGTGCTGGAGCTTTGAGAGGTAGAAGAAGTATATTCCTTGTTCATCAGTATCCGAGTGCGTTGCAGTACTGTCTACCCATTATTGGTAATTATTGCTGATAGAGTGCAAGTTAATACTATCTGAACAGTGTTTGGGTGTGAAAATAAGCAGAGGATCTTCCTCTTCAAATGCTCACTTTGTATGTTGTGTGTGAAATGTATTGTTATCCCTAGAACACTTTATGATTATATTGTCTTGCATATTCCACGAAAAAGCATGTTCTACTCGCAGTTGATTATTCTTGTTTTCTTTTTCTTTCACCTTTGACACCCTCTTAGGCTAAACTAAAATATAGACAGTTTTCCAACTCTATTTACCTGACATTAAAAAGAGCACCGGTAGTTCTGATGTGATGTCCCAAATTGGTTGGAGAGGAGAACAAACCACCATTTATAAGGGTGTAGAAACCTTCTCCTCGCCGACGCGTTTTAAAGCTTTGAGAGGAAGCCCGAAAGGGAAAGCACAAAGAGGACAATATCTGCTAGCGGTAGATTTGGGTCGTTACAAATGGTATCAGAGCCAAACACCGGATGATGTGTTAGCCTTCTCGTTGTTCCCCGAAGGGGGGAAGACACGAGGCAGTATGCTAGTAAGGACGCTGGGCCCCAAAAGGGGTGGATTTAGGGGCGGTCCCACATCGATTGGAGGAAGGAAAGAGTGCCAACGAGGATGCTGGGTCCCGAAGGGGGGTGGATTGTGATGTCTCACATTGGTTGAAGAGGAGAACAAACAACCATTTATAAGGGTGTGGAAACCTTCCCCTAGCAGACGCATTTTAAAGCTTTGAGGGGAAGCCCAAAAGGGAAAGCCCAAAGAGAACAATATCTGCTAGCAGTGGAACTAGTTACAACTGAAAAGAAACTTTTCTGACATTTAGATTTACTGTAGCCAACGAAACCATCATAAATTGTCATCCTGCAAATTTTTATAATGATAAGAATCCTAGGATAAGTATGGACAAAAAGGAGAAGAATGGACCAAAATCTTCTATTAAATTAAGAGTGTAACCAAAAAGAAAATGAACAGAAAGGACTCAGATAATTTTTGTATAAAGATTTTTTTTTTTTTTTTTATAAGAGACGATTTCATTGATGATTGAAATTTTTGTGTAAAGTTTAAGGGGCTAAAGTAATCTTTGAAAGCTTATGAACTAAAACAAAATAAATATAAAAGTACCATGACAGAAATAATATTCCAACGAGCATATTGAATTTAGATAAAATACTTCACTCTCATATCATTTGAAATTTGTTCAAACAAGAGCCTGCCTAGAAATACCATGGAAGTTTCTCTTACTTTGAATACCCTTCTAGTAGTACTTCATGGGATCAATGACTCAGTTGTGATCACCAATAGAAATAGCCCAAACAGGTTCGCCTGATGGAAAAACAGAAAACAACACTGGCAACTGATATGAATTCAAGGCCTAATAAACCTCTTTTGATGGAACGAACAACAAATCTATGAACCAAAATTTGAGAAAATGAAATTGCCTACATCAAAATGTAACGCATCTAAAGCAACAATTAAATCAGTTCATTTTGCAATTCTAATTCCTAAGTCAACAAAGGTATCCAGGAGGATTTGCAACCAAGCGAGAATACACCAACAATCTCACTATCTCTGTAACACAGTTCCAAAATCTCACAGAACATAATCAAACGTATCAGTTTGTTAAAATAGAATGTCTAAAACATCTAGAACATAAACAAAACTTCAGAAACCAAAAAAGGATATTCAGTCTTGGTTACCAAACCTAGCTTCAAAGGTGAATACGCTTTAGAGATGAACTGTAATCAGAAAACTGCCGGTGCCTAGAAAGAAAGTCAGTAGTAGAAAAAAAAAAACAAAAAACCATATCGATCAGCATTATGAAAAACTAGAATCAAGTACAGGCGTGATTTCCTTGCTCTTCTTTTGCAGGAATCAAACCATGGACTGAAAATAAAAGAACCTTCTAACAGACGGCGGCCAAACTTCGGCATTACTGCATTCGAGTCTTGCAGGTTGTCTAGTGAGATGAATGAACAGGCTATTCAGTCCATGACCACCAGTTATCGTCTTCCGAGCAAACGATTTTTCTGGATACCATATGATTCTTCCTGTTCGCTTCTTGGCTCAACCATCGATCGATTGAATAGTTTCGCCACATTACTACAGTAACAGTGACAGCAAAACATTTCTAAGATCGTTATTTTGAAGATATTTTGAAGATGGGGATCCGAGTGCATATATATATATATATATATATTTATTTATTATTATTATTATTATTATTATTATTTAATAATTTTTTTAAGTGTACGGAAATATTAAATTTTGAATTTTTTAAAATTATTGAATTAATTATTACCTTTTACAATTTTTTAATAGATCTTAAATTTATAAGATTTGAAAGAATGGAATGACTTTTCTTGTAAAAAAAAAATTATTATTGTTTAACTAAATTTAATTAAAATCAATAAAAACTGATTTTAAAATACTAACCTTAAAAAGTTCCATAATTGGATATCACCATAATTGCATAACTTACCTGTCATTATATTTTCAAATTCACCCGTACACAAAAATCACCATGAATTTTGATATCTTGAATTATTATCAATGAAAGTTAGGTAAATAATAAAGGACTTAACGAATGAATTCACGGCACAGTGACCATCTATCCAAAGACTTTTATATTCTATAAGTTACCTTTGCAACAAATTACAGTAAGATTAGGTCCCAATAGATTAGTCGAGATATATGCAAACTACTTCAAAAAAATCGAGAATCGACTATCGAAAGTGATAACGAGTGTCTTATCCACCCACCCATTTGAGCTTTATAAGGTTAAAACAAAATATATATAAAGTTGAGAGCAAGAGATCCTTCCAAGTCTCTCTCTCAAATTTGAGCATACATATGAAGGTTTCAAATAAATGTTTATAAGACAATAAAAATATGACAATAATTCAACACATTACACTTAACAGCAACAACAAACATTATCATGTGGTAAACCGTGAAGAATATAGCTTATTATTTTCATAATTTTAATTTGATTCTTTGTGAATGAGACAGTATAAAATCAAATTTTATATTTTAACAAACCAGTGCGAGCAAATGAGGCCTGCACACTGCCTGCTAGCATGTACCATCCATGTAGCTTATGAGCAAATCCTGAACCATGTCTCTGTCTGGCATTCGCTCTGCAGCACCATATATTGGTGCTAATCCTCCAGTAATAGGCCCTGGATTTTGTTTGACCTGAAATATATAATTACATATACATAAGCCCATAAGTCACAACCAGAAAATATGCATATTAGTAAAATTGGCTCTGATGGACTAAGAACATTCTTGCAGAAATA